ATCCACCAGTACTCCCAAGTTCTTCTCAGGAGGGCTGTGCGCAGTCCTTTTGTCCCTCAGCTTGCATTGGTAATGGGGGTTGCCTCAACCCAGGTGCAAGATCTTGCATATGGATTTGTTGAACCTCATGAGGTTCACCTGGGCCCACTACTCAAGCCTGTGTAGGTCCCCCTGGATAGCATCCTGTCCCTCTGATGTGTTGTGTCAACCTCACTCCACAGCTTGGCATCATCAGCAAACTTGCTGAGGGTGCACTTGACCCCACTGTCAGTGTCATTGATGAAGATATTAAAGAGTATCAGCCCCAGCGCTGACCTGGGGGACACCACTCTTGCAACCAGAGGAAAGCCTCCTTTAACATCTGCCAGCTCTGCTCTGACCTGTCCATGAGGACAGTTTCCCAGGGTGTTTAGCTGACTAACTCCTAGAAGAGATGGAATTTCACTTTCCTGAAGTTTAGTTTCCAAATTTTACTCTTCACCTGTTTCATATTCCTCCGGAGTGTGAATTAACCATAGTGTGGAAATGAGATGTTGTTTTTACATTAGAACTAACAGGATAAATATATTACTAATACTCCTTTCCTAGTCTTTTTACTTCATCTGGGGTCTCTGATAGTCTTCGCATACTCAGCAGACAGATGAAGTAATTTATAGTCACAGAGATTAGGTAGATGGTGTACATGGTAGATGTTTATAGGTACAAAGACTGTAGCCCTTGTCTGTCCAGCCATCTGGAATGCCTCTGAGCCTTGAGTTAAAGACAAGTTAGATGGTGGTATGGGAACTGTTGATCACAGCCTGAACCTCTGATTGACCATTGAGGCAAGCAGTGAAGGGGTGGAGCTTGGCTTCACCTCTTCTAGACCGCATTTAAGGACTGACTGCCACTGAGGAATGATCTCTTTTGGAGATCGCTGCTTGTGGAGTTTATTGCGAGCCTACATCAGTGAGCATTTTTCATTTATTATCTTTCCACCGCGATAATCCTACTTAGCTAACCTCTGTACATTTTTTGATTGTACACCTATTCATTGTACAGTGGTCCACTCCTGAACTGTGACAAGGATATCAGTAGGCTCATTATATTGAAAGACTACTAATTTTTTTTTGTGCTGGACAGAAAAGACGTGAGTGAGAGGAAACTTAAGGAGAAGTTAAACAAGATGTCTGGGTGGTTGAAGTCCCCATGCACGACAAGCATTTGTGATTGCGATGCCTCCTGTAGCTTGAGCTAGAAGACCTTATCAACAGGCTCTGCCTGATCTGGTGCCTGTCTGTACTAGACACCCATCACAAGGTTCTCTTTGCTGTCTCTGTCTATAACTATCATCCATAGGCTTTCGACCTTCTCATGACTGTTCTTTAATGAAAGATCTTCACATTCTCTTCCTTTCCTGATTTAGACAGCAACATCCCATCCCCTCCTTCCTTGTTTGTCCCTTCTGCACAGCTTGTAGTCATCGATTGCCACTCTCCAGCTGTGGCAACCATCCCACAGGGTTTCAGTAATGACAACTATGTTTATGGTCTTCTAGTAGCACAGTGGCTTCCAGCTCCTTCTGTTTGTTTCCTGAGATGCAGAGGTGCAGAGGCATTTTAGCTGGGCAGCTGGTATTGTTACTTTCTTAAAGGATGACTCCTCAATTCCTTTTAGGTATTTCCCTTGATTTTCTCCATTGCATTCTCCTGTTGCCCCAGCACTCATTGCCTCATCACCGTGGAGTTTTGTATGTGCTGCAGTGTTGCTAGAACCTCTTAAGACAGTGGGTCCTTCAGGTTCCCCTGAAACCTTGACCTAATATAGTGTCTTCCCACACCTTATCATGGGAAGTCTTATTAGCCCCGCACCCCTTTCATACCTTGTTTAAAGCCCTTCCAGTGAGCCTCGGTAGCTTTTTCCCAAGGACTCTTCTTTCCCTTTGAGAAAGGCAAACCACATCTGGTGCCCATAAACCCAGTAATGTGTAGATTTATTGGTTGTTGAAAAACCCAAAGTGCTGGGAGAGCACCAGCCACAAAGCCAGGTATTTAAAGATAAGATCCTTTGGTTTGTTTCTGTGTTTTAGGCAATGCAGGAGGCAGAGAAGATGGTCTGTGCATTCAATTCTCTTAGCTGTTGTTCCAAGGTCCTGAGGTCCCTTTTGATAGTCCTTGACCTACACGTAATTGCTTCATCTCTCCATGTATGGAAAAACAGTAAGCAGTTGTGGTCTGCTGGCTGTACCAGGCTAGGTAGTTTCCTGGTGATGTCCCTCACATGAGGACAGCAGACTTCTCTAAGAACAGAGTCTGCTCAGAATACTGGATGTTCAGTTCCACGCAGGGAGGAATCATCTACAATACTTGTCTCTTCTTCAGTGAAGAGTCTTGATGTCGAGGGAAGGCTTTTAATGGTTTGGTTTTGTTAGAATGTCTAGACTGAGTGAGCTGTAACCCACAGACTGGCCTTCCATTTCCAGGGCCTCACACTTATTGTATGGAGGCACCTGTAGGGGTGGAGCAGACCAGGAGAATTTCATTTGCTCCTTCAGGTGCGAACTTGCCTCCATCTGCTCTGTTCTTGTCCCCAGCCTTGCAATTTTTTTTCCTCAACCTGATGTGATGCCTTGAGCTCGTGTTTTTTCCTTAGAAATAACCTGTTTGTGCATGGATGAACTGTGGTTTCCCTGCTCCTCCTTTTTGTTCCTAACGACAATTTTTCATCCTGTAGTTTGGCCACGAGGCTGAGTAGGCCGTCTGTCTGCTCGCATGTCACACAGCTGTTCTGACAGTTGCCCCACGGAGACAGCGAGAGGTTCATGCGCTGTGCACATCCGGAGGTCTGAAGTGCTATGTGGTTGCCTCCGAACTCGGTCAGGGTTGCAACATCCTTCCTGACGCGGGTGACACTCTAGCTCTCTTCCGGGTGGATACCACGATTAAGTCTCGGTCCTTGGGGGGATAATCCTGCACTTCAGAGTGTGATGAGCCTGAACTTTGCAGCTGATAATCACCTAATGAATTATCTCTGTAGCCCTGAGGTACTCGCTCGCTTGCTCCCTCGCTCGCCCTCCCGCCCTGCACGAGCTGCCGCGCGGTTAGCCCGGACGTCCTGTTTGCTCAGCTCCCTCGCGGCAGGTTTTATCCGCCGTCAGCCCCCGACTCCGCCCCACCGCGTCAGTGCCACCGCACGTCGGGGGCTGCCCTCACCTCCCAGCGGCATTTTCCGAGGAGCCTTGCTGCGGATTTTCTCTCTTGGGAAGGCTCCCTCGGTGTGAATTTCTGCTGTGCAACTGATGCGCATGTTATTTTTTGTCTTTTTTTCTTGATCTCCCAAATTTCTGTCCTAATAAGGAAGTTACCAGTTTTCCGTCTGTGTCATATAATACTGTTCTGATGAGTTTCCTCTCTTCCTTACCTTCCTCCTTAGCATTCTTCTCTTGACTTAACAATTTTGTTCATTTATACAATCTGTTTTACCTGCTTTTGTCTAGTACCTCAACTGTTTCTGGTCTATAAATTTTCCCTTTGATTTTTCTCAGGGGAGCATGGGATAAAGGTTTTTTTGTTTGCTTATTTTTTATTTATTTATTTTTTTAATGTTTGAAAAGACTACAGTTTTATTTTTTAAATCTGGCTTACATCAGCCTGACAAAAAACAGAAGACTCAGTTCCTTTGTTTGTGAACAAAGAAGACTGAAATATGACAAGCCCCTATTGAAAATCAGCAAGCAAATGAAGCATGACAGATAAAACACTAAGACCTCAAGAGTAGAAGAGATTTAAAATTAAGTAAACATATTTAAAATCCACAAAATATTACCCTGTTTACCACAGGAGATGCATAACATTTAGTTTACTACAGCTTCTGCCATATTTTACATTAACATTTTGAACGGGATTGGAGGCGTCTACTTTCCTCACATCTTCAATGTGTTTAGAAGTCCAGTTCTGATATGCAGGTGCAGTCAAGTCAATTTATCATTACAAATGGATATTCTCTGAACACAGGATTGGTTGTTGTTATTGCTTTGGTTTTAGGTTGTTTTTGTTGTTTTTAACAAAAGTTTAGCACTAGTGAATAATCCACTGGCCATAACAGTTCAATAGCAGGTTCTAGTGCAGTGGTTACTCTTGTTAATTGGAGGCAGTTCTGAATCTGTTTACTTTCTGTTATTGCTTGCAGTACTTGTAATCTATCCTTCCTTTTACTGAGAACTACTGAGCTTGTTAGCAGTTTTCATGGATGATAGTTAATGGCAAATGTCTTTGCTCACACATACCATGAGTCTTAACTGAAAAGTTACGCATTTCTATTACACGCATAGTTCAGAAAATAAATGGTTTGTACAGTCTGGCATTACCTGTGGTCTGAAGCCTGATAAGTGAGATGGATTGTCTAGCTGGAATTGCACACAAAATTAATTGGAACATCCATCTGTTTTGGTCCTTTCCACCAGCTCCTGGTAATAGTAAGATATGGCTAGCAAAGAAAGCAGCCAGAACTGAGCTGCTGCATTTGAATTACTGTTTCTCAGTTATTCATGTGCTATTACTGTATATATATGTGTTAAAAATATATATATATAAAATATATATATATGTGTTAAAAGATTGTATATTTATATAAATAAACACATGCCTGTCTATATAAAACATGTAAATCTATTAAAAAAAAAAACAAAAACTGTGTATTTCCTCAACTCTTGTTTGTGGAAACGTATTAGTAAAGAACACCAAAAGTGCAAGAAGTCAGTACTTGCATTAAATACTGCAGTAAACAAGGAAGCCGCTTCTTGAATTCATTCACTGATTCCAGGAGCTATCAAGCTTTTCTGAATTATGTTATCTGTCATGCTTTACAAAGGAAAAGAGATGAAGAAACTCCTGATTTTGGCCCAACTGTTGATATCTCTTGTATTTTCTTCATAATAATATGAAGTTACGTTGTTCTGTGCTGTAGATAATCTGTAGTGACAGCTGTAACAGATACTTACACTATTTTTTCCTCTTCTTTAGAATTGGGGATATCTTCAGTAAATAACTTGCTGCTCACAGAAACGACTGAAATAACTGAAGTTGTGAAATACAGGTAAGCAATACAGCCAGTTTATTTTTCATTTTAAATGCTCAACTGAACATGGATGATGAATCTATGAATATTCATTGTGATGACAAAACCATCAAGTCATTATAGGGTTTTTAACCTTAAATAGATTGATTTCATGAATTCTGAAAATCGTTTTGATTGCCACCCTTGTGATGGTGGCTGAAAAACTTAATATGAGCCAACAGGTGCTCTTGCACCTCAGAAAGCAAATGGTATCCTGGGCTCCATCAGAAAAGGGGTGTCCAGCAGGGACAGGGAGGTGATTGTCCCTCTCTACTCCACTCTTGTGAGGCCCCATCTGGAACACTGTGTCCAGGTCTGGGACCCCCAATACAAGAAAGACAGAGAGCTGTTGGAGAGGGTCCAGAGGAGAGCCACAAAGATGATCAGGGGGTTGCAGCACCTTGCCCTCAAGGACAGGCTGAGGGAGCTGGGCTTGTTCAACCTGGAGAAGAGAAGGCTGTGGGAGGAAGACATCACTGCAGCCTTCCAGTATGTAAAGGGAGCCTACAAACAGGTGGGGAGTCAATTCTTTACAAGGGTGAATAATGGCAGGATTGAGGGAAAAGGATTTTAAGTTGAGAGAGGAAAAATGTAGGTTGGATGTCAGGGGGAAGTTCTTTACAGAGAGAGTGGTGAGGTGCTGGAACAGGCTGTCCAGAGAGGTTGTGCATGCCCTGTCTCTGGAGGTGTTCAAGGCCAGGTTCGATGGGGCCCTAGGCAACATGGTATAGAATTAGGTATGGAGATTGCTGGCCCTGCCTACAGCAGGGTGGTTGGAGCTTGATGATCCTTGATGTATCTTCCAACCCAAGCCATCCTATGATTCTATGAGTCCCTGATGACAAATCCAGCAGAATTGCATGAAGCAAATTTCTTTTGTGCTTGTACAAACATTATAAATGTTAATGTAAATGTAATCTTAACCAATGTAAAAACATTGGTTAAGATTCATACCTAATTCAAACCAACTTTAATAGGAAATCCTGGTACTTTGTGACCCTCAATTAATTTCATGAATTATTTTTGATAACATTGAATTGTCTTATTGGCCCAGCAGACTCAGGTATTCCTGATACGTGTAGCTCCACTTATTTTATCTATTTTTTTTCCCTAATTATTGTACTGAAGTATATTCTCTCTGGCTTTTTTGATTATTTTATGTCAATTTTACATACCTATTTCATTGTTGAAATTAAGTTTTTGAAATATATTTGCTATATCTAATTCTTCAGTAAAATGATAAAATTCTGGTTTTCTTTCATGACTAAGAATTTTACTTAAATTAGCATCGTGTGTTATCGCTTATGGTAGTTTGCTGTAGAGCTTTGAAAGACTCATTCAGCCTGTCTATACTACTTAATTTCCCTCAAGTACTTATGCTTTGGTGTGCTCTCATGTAATGTAGATTAATGGCCATTATTTTTAATGAGCTGAGTTCACCTTTAACAAAATTCCAGGATATATCTATTCCATATCAACTTGAATAGTTGATATAATTGCTACGCATTTATGTAGAATTGAGTTCAGTGGATTCAGAAGGTTTTTAAATTATACTTTAATGTTTTTCTTTACTGTTTTCTGTTCTGTTGTCTAAAAATTCCATATGAACTTTCAAGACAGATTATTGGATTACAGTACTTTAGGAAATATGAGCAAAAAAGTGTTACATGTGTTGCTTTCTCAGGAAAAGATGTGTCTTGTGAACACATTACAGAATTATATTCTAAGTGCAAAGCATGCAAAATAATATTTAATTACTCAAGTACTAAGAAATAAATATTTTTCCATTTTACATAATTCTCTGTGCTTCTGAGCATCATTCATGAAATACATAATTTGAGCAACAGTCAAACAACGATTTCCCCTAAACACAATAAAAGTCAGCTGAATTTCATTTAAATATTTGTTAATAGCCAAAATGACTTTTTTTTTTCCTCTTTTCTTCTTTCTCTCTCCCTTTTCCCGAGCTTGTTTGACAACTCTGAAATGTTTTGAGTATGACTGCAATAACAGACATGTTTAGACTTATCTTTCATGTTAAGCACTTCCTTTCTGTGAGCATACTTGCTTTTTTCAGCTGTGATTTTGCTATTAGTTGTAAGCACAGTGCCGGCGAGCCTGGGAAAGGAGGAGTCCACACATGTATTTACCCTGGAGAGATCTGTTAACAAAGAGGTATTTTTTATTACCAGCATATGAAACTGGAAGGGTAGGTGGTGTCGTACATCAGGAACGGGAGCTGCACCCTGCTTCTTCTAGCCCTGCTGTTTCATCTGTGGCCTGCTTCAGTGCTGTTATGTTTCAGGAACAGATCCAGAAGCTTATATGCCTACCTTATAAAAAATGTTACAATGAGGAATTGGCATGGTATGTGGAGATGGGAAATGTCCATTCTGGAGATTTTGTCAGGAGTTCAGGGAAGAAAGCAGAGAGAAGAAAATGGTATTCAGATGAAGTAATAAAACAAAAACGCATCCTGTGGAGGTTGGTGAAAGTGAGAGAAGAGACAACAGGCATTTGAGTGGCAAATTATAGGGATAATAACAGCAGGTGAAAAATGTTGGTGATTTGTGATTGAAGAGGAAGACCAAGGAATGGAGGCAGCATGTTTAAGGAGAAGAGGGTGATACTGATCAGGGTATACTCAGTATCAGGGTGATACTGAGTGTATCAGGAGGGCTTATGCATGGGTGAGAGCTGGTGCAGGAGCAAACCAGTGGGGAAGGGAAAGGGCTTCTATTCAAGTACTGGAAACAGTCAGCAGTGATACAATGGGAGAAGAGGGAGACAAGAGGCAAAGAGAATTGCAGAGTCACAATCATAAGTGTTGGATGAGACCTCTGGAGATCATCCAATCTAATCCCCTTCTAAAGCAAGAACGGGTTGCATAGGAAAGTGTCTAAATGGGTTCTGAATATCTCCAGAGGGAAAAACTCCACAACCTCTCTGGGCTGCTTGTTCTAGTGCTCTGTCACCCTCAAAGTAAAGATTTTTTCCTTACATTCATGTGGAACTGCGTGTGTTCCAGTTTGTGCTCATTACCCCTTGTCCTATTGCTACATACCACTGAAAAGAGCCTGTACTCACCCACTTAAGTACCTCCTGTTAGGTATTCATAAACACTGATAAGACTACCCCCCTCAGTCTTCTCCAGGCTGAACAGTCCCAGGTCTCTCAGCCTTTCCTCATAACGGAGATGGTGTGGCCCCCTCATCATCTTTGTGGTCCTCCACTGGACTCTCTCCAGTAGTTCACTGTCTTTCTTGAACTCAGGAGCCCAGAACACATTACTCCAGATGTGCCTCACCAGGACAGAGAAGAGGGGAAGGATTACCTCTCTCACCCTGCTGGCCACGCTCTTTTCAGTGCACCCCAGAGCACTACTGGCCTTCTTGGCCATAGGGGCACACTACTGGCTCATGGTCCACCTGTTGTCCACCAGCACACCAAATCCTTCTCTGCAGAGTTCCTTTCCAGCAGGTCATCCCCTAACCTGTACCTACGTGTGCGGTTATTCCTCCCCAAGTGTAGGGCTCTATATTTACCCTTGTTGAACCTCACAAGGTTCCTCTACACTCAACTCATCAGTATGTCCAGGTTTTGCTGAATGGCAGCACAATCTTCTAGTGTGTCAGCCACTCTTCCCAGCTTTCTATCATCAGCAGACTTGCTGAGGATGCATTCTGTTCCTTCATTCATGACACTCATGAAGACGTTAAACAAGACTGGATGCAGTACCAGCACCTGGGAAACCTTGCGAGTTACAGGCCTCCAGCTAGACTGCACTGCTGATCACCACCCTCTAGTCACTCTGGCAATAGGCCAGTTTTCTTCCACTCCACAGACTGTTAGTCTGTCCCATGCTTCCTAAGCTTACTTATGAGAATATTATGGGAGACATCGTCAAAAAACTTGTTTAAGTCAAGATAGATTAACCTTCACTGCTCTCTCATCATCTGCTCATCCTTTTGCTATCGACAAACTTAAAGACCTTTGTGTTGTCCTTAACTTCCTTAGCTGGACTTAATTCCAAATGAGTCTTAGCTTTCCTCATCGCATCTGCATACTCCCTGACACAATTCCTATATCATTCCTGAATGACTAGACCCCTTTTCCATTGACTTTCTTCCTCCATTTCAGTTTTACCTTGAGCTCCTTGCTAATCTATGTGGGTCTCCTACCACCTTTGCCTGATTTGTTATTCTCAAGAGTGCACTGGTCTTGGTCTAGAAAGAATTGGTACTTGAATGTCAACCAGCTCTCTTGGGTTGTCTTACCATTCAGTGCTCTAACCCATGATATATCTACAAGTAGATCCTTGAAGGACTCACAACTGGCTCTCCTGAAGTCCAGGATTGCAATCCCATTTGTTGTCTTGTTTCTTCCTTGTAAGATCCTGATCTCCACCATCTCATGATCACTACATCCAACATAGCCTTCAGCCTTCACATTCCCAGCTAGTCCTTCCTTGTTTGTAAGAACTCCACAGTGTGAAAATATCTGTACTGTGCTCTTGTGCCAGAAACAAGTGAAGTATAATAGGTATTTCTAACCTGTTGACTTCCCTTTCTGTGCGTATTCCAGGGGTGTCTGCAGGAAATTTCAGTTACAGGTCAGGAAGTATAGCCTTCCTGGCCTGTCTCACTGATAGCTACTGAAATTTGGAAGAGTAATATCTCCATAAACATCTTGTAGTCTGTTCTGTTCTAGTGTTCAAACAAGAAAACAAATGCTTCTCTTCATTTGTTTTTAAGTACTTTGCTGTTCAGTGTGGCATGAAATGACGGTGCAGAGCAGCGCAGCACCACCAAGGCAATTCCTTGCTACTGAGAAGTCCGTAGCTTCTCCTTCCCTTGAGCCCCTGCAGTTGTGTGACTGGATTTGCATCTTCACATAGCCAGACTTGTCACATGAATTTGATTTGTTGATGTTTTTCCAGTAATGAGAGAATGGCATTAGGAATTGTGGCTCTTCATCAT